ATTGATTCTCCCGGACTTGTCAGGCCTGGGATCAGGCAGAGCCAGAAGTAACTCAGGTGATGCTGCCTCTTCCCGATGGCCCTCGGGCTAATGTGAGGCTGGGCTGGTTCCTGGCTGGGAACTTCAGAGCTCCTGCAGAAGGGAGTGTTTGAGCCCAGCCCCTCGTTTTCCTTAATTACTGCGTTATCAGCACCCTGGCAGTGCAGGAGAAGTATGTGCAATCTCAGGACAAAGCTGTGGAAGAGGAGGTGATGGATCTGTGACACGCCCTTCCCCGGCTCCTCTGCTTTGACACCTCTCCTTTTCCTACCCGAGCTTCAGCCGTGACTCAGAGCAACTGGAAGCCTTTCCAGGCAGAGCCTGGACCCTCTCTGGGTGGGTTTGACCTCCCGAGCTTCAGGCCTGCTGCCCGGAGCAGGGCTTTGGCACAAGGGAGGCGGCTGAGGGTCTTCTCCTAGGAACAGAGAGACTGAGCCAGGGAAGGCAGGGAGAGCAAGGAAAAGAAGCGAGATAAGGTCTCCTCCATCATGACCAGGACAGATCCAGAGAAAGAAGAATCAGCTGGAGCTGCCTCGTGTGCAGTGAGAGTGGAGGCAGCAGAGCAGGGTGTGCTGCAGGAGGAGCGTGCACGGGCCCCATGCTCCCAGCAGAATCCAGGCCACGACGCCTCCGCGCCGTCTCAAGGACAGAGAGATGTTTGTTTTTCTTTTTCTTAGAAATAATGATGGACTCTTTCTTAATAAAACGCTCCTCGGTCTCACTTTCATCTTAGAGTTTGCTGAAGCTGAATAAACAAACCCAGGAGTGCTCTGGAGCCCGAGGCCAAAGCACCAGTGGTGGGAGCGGCGCTGCCAGGACCTGTCCCTGTGCCCTGTGCCCTGTCCCTGTGCCCTGTCCCTGTCCCTGTCCCTGTGCCCTGCTGGGAATGCTCAGCCTGGCAGGGCTGGGGGCAGCAGGCAGGGCACTGCTGCTGCCCCTGCCCTGGTCCAGGGGCAGCACACACAAAGTGCCAGCTCGGCTCCTTTGGGTTAAGAAAGCCCCTGTGTGAGTCAGCTCGTGGTTTGCATCTCGGGCCGTTCCCAGAGCAGCCTTGGGTGTCCTCATCCACCTTCCTTCTTCTGGCCTTGCTTTTCCCCTCCTGCCCTGTCATTCCCCTGGCTCTGCTGCTGCAGCTCCCAGCGCTGGCAGCAGCTCTGAGCCTCGTGTGCTCCCTGCTCCAGGCAGCAGCTGGGGGGATTGGGGGGTCTTGGGGTGGACTGGGGGGGTCTTGCTGGGGGTGGATTGGGGGGTCTTGGGCAGGGATTGGGAGGGCTGGGGGTGGCAGGTGGGGTGTCCCCACCAGGGAGCCTCCGGGTGCCTCCCAGAGCTCCCCACGGGACGGGAGCGGGCGCGACTCCCGATCCCAGCTCTGCAGACTCAGCATCGCCTCTTGCCCAAGATCTTGCATAAAATACAACAGGATTTTCTCACAGGGTGGTTTGGCCCTTGGCAGAGGGATTGGAGACTGGATCCTTGATGGATCTGAATGTGAACGGGGTCTTGGGCAGTCGGGCACGGAATTAAAATGAATTTTCCCCACATCTCCCAACTCTGTGGCCAGGATTTGGAGGCAAGGAGGAGCTCAGGGAGAGGAGCACACAGACTCACAATGCTTGTGCTTCACCCAGACCCCTTCCCAATGAAACTGAGATTTCAGATATCGAAGTCAAATCCCAGCGTGCTGCCAGTGCCTCAGCTCTCCCCAGAGCCCAGGAATTTCCCTGGGTGTTCCTGGCTGGAGCCAGCAGCTGCATTTCAGTGCTGAAGCTCTGGAAGCCAATCTAACCATAACTGAGCTGAAATCCCACCCTCACCCTGTGGCTCGTGGCCCTGTCACGGTCGTTTTGGAGCTCTGTAGCTGCTGTGAAGGGCTGGGAGACGGGATCATAAAAATATTAATTTTATAGTGGCTTTTCTATGGCTTTGAGAGATTTGGTGGCTTAAAAGGGTATGGTCAGGTCAGGCTGAGTTACACAAGAGCCATCAAAGCTTTTGTGGCTTTTTGGCTTTTTTATTTGGATGCCCTGGATATTTGCAGCCCCAGCCTTGGATGGAAACTGCTCAGCTCAGGATCCTCTGCTGTGTTCAGCCAGGAAATGCTCAGGTCTCAGAGAGCTTCAGCCCCAAAACTGCAGCGGTTTTGCACCAAGGAGCTTCTCACAGATGAATCAGGGGCTGAGCCAGGACCCACAGCCCGGAGGGGACAATTCTGCTCCTGCCCAGGGTGACCTGGACAGGCTGAGCAGGAGACAGGGAGGGCTGGAGCCCCTGGTGGGCAGCGCAGGGGGAAAGGCAGCCTGCCCCTGCACCGCACACAGCCCAGGCTGGGAGGGGACACGGCCAGGCTCCGGGCCCAGGGAGGTGACACTTTGGCTGCTGTCACTGCCTTGAGCAATCTGCGGGGCCAAGGGCCAGCATGAGTCACCCCAGCCCTGGCACATCCCTGGGAGGGGGCCGGGTGCTCTGCCAGGCTGGTCCGACCTGCTGAGCCCCCTGACCCCTGAGCTGGGCTGGTCCTGCTGAGCCCCCCTGACCCCTGAGCTGGGCTGGTCCTGCTGAGCCCCCCTGAGCTGGGCTGGTCCTGCTGAGCCCCCCTGACCCGGGCTTGTCCTGCTGAGCCCACCCTGACCCGGGCTGGTCCTGCTGAGCCCCCCTGAGCTGGGCTGGTCCTGCTGAGCCCCCCTGACCTGAGCTCCTGCTGAGCCCCCCTGACCCCTGACCCAGGCTGGTCCTTCCTGCTGAGCCCCCCCGACCGTGGGGCTGAACCTGAGGGTGCTGTTTTGGGGATGGAGGGGTTTGAGCACCACTCACAGCCACGGAACTGGGCTCTCCTGGGTCCCCCCGTGCTCCAGCCCTGATTTCAGCTCCATCACGGAGCTCCTGCTCAAAAGCTGAGTTTCCCCATCAAGTGGCGCTTTCTAATGAGGATAAAAAAGCTCTCCAGAAAGAGCAGGCACTGGTGGCAGGCTGGCAGGAGGCTGCCCCGAGGCCAGGGGCGATGGCACCCCATGTCTGGGTGCCCAGACTGGCCAGCCCCAGCCCTGGGCACACAGCCCGGGGGGAGGCTGGGACAGTGGTGACAAGGACAGGCGGGGCCGTGGCTGCTGCAGCTCCCACTCGGGATGGGCAGAGCCTTCTGCAGGCAGCAGAACACCCCTGGTCTCCTCACAGACCCGTTTTGGTGGCCTTTTGCCCGTGGCCACCAGCGCCCGTGCCAGGGCCCTGCTGGGGACTGCGGGGTGGGGGACACTCCTTGGCCCTGGCACCCAGTCCCTCTGCTCTGAGGGTCTTTAAGACACTAAAATCGATCTATCTGAGAGCTCCTCTGGACGCCCCTTGAGAGGGGAATGCCAAGAGCATTCCACAGCCTCTGGATAAGGACCAGGCTGGGGATGCAGGTCCCCACGTCCCCCGGTCCCAGCACCCAGGGTGAAGCAGGGGGACAGAAGGACCCCAGAGAGCTCCCCAGCAGCACAACCCTCTCACAGGAGAGTCCTGGGGATCCAGGGCTCCTCCTTCCCAGCCTGGAAAAGCTGCCGGACCGGCTGGGAGCGGGGAGCTCCATCCTCCCACACGGCCCAGCCACGCCGCAATTTCGGGAGCTGTTGAAATCTGTTAACCCCTGGGAAGCCGGGGGGAACCCGCAGCCCCAGGGCTGGACGGACACCCCCAGTCAGCCCTTCCTGGGCAGCAGCACTGCCAGCTCAGCCCCGCCGCTGCCCAGTTTAACCAGTCCGGGTGTCCCCAGGCCGCGGGGTCACCCTCAGCTCGTTTTTCCCGTCGCTGCCCCGCTCTGGCTAATTACAGGTCTGGGGCCGTTCCCAGGCTGGGAGCGCCCGGGGGAGGCCAAGCTTTGGGGTCCCTCGCCCTGACACCTCTGGGGACCCCAGGGCAGCACCAGGGCTGGGCAGGGCCGGGGGCTCACGGGGGTCACCCCTCTGCTGGGATCTGCTCCCGGTGTCCATCCAGGCGCTGCTTCGTGCAGCCCAGCAGAGCCCTGGTCACCCCCGGGCCAGCCCCCCGCTCCCGGGCACCCCGAGCTCCTGCTGGCACCACGGGGGTCCCAGCGCTGCTCCTGCCCCATTCCCGGAGCCCAGGGGGTCGCGGCCCCATTCCCGGAGCCCAGGGGGTCCCGGCCCTGCTCCTGCCCCATTCCCCGAGCCCAGGGGGTCCCGGCCCCATTCCCCGAGCCCAGGGGGTCCCGGCCCCATTCCCTTAGCCCAGGGGGTCCCTGCCCTCCTCCTGCCCCATTCCCCGAGCCCAGGGGGTCCCGGCCCCATTCCCCGAGCCCAGGGGGTCCCTGCCCTGCATGGGCCGGGGTTTGGCCACGCCAGGGCCCCCCTGTCCCGCTGCAGCCCCTCCCGAGTCACGGCGCTTTCCTCCCCATCAAAGGCCGGCCCTGCCCGGCCCTGCTGAGCTCACAGCCCGGGGTGCCTGAGTGTTTTATTGTAATTATTGCTCATGTTGAAACGCGCCGGTGGGGGAAGGGGGAGGGAGCTGCGCCCTTCAGAAGTGCTGAGCTTTCACCTGTCCCAGCGCGTCGGGGCCTCGGGAGGGATGTCCCCACCCTGGCAGCCCCTGGGTCGCTGCCCGCGCAGCTTTTGTGGATTTTCCTCCTTGGACTTAGAGGAGCCACGGGGATCCACCCAGGGGAGTCAGTGGCAGGTTTTGGGGAACTCTGGGTTTGTACCAAGGGCTTGGGTCAGGGACCGGGGGACCTTTGAGCACCTCGTGGAGCAGCCAGCGCTGGGTGGGGCTGCCAAAACCCCCGTGCCAGGCAGGCACAGACCCCCGAGCCTGCCACGGCCGCAGCTCAGCCCAAGACCCTGCTGTGGGGCTGGGGGCATGGAGAGCAGCCAGTGCTGGGGGGTGGGAGGGGGCGAGGCAGGCTGCCCGGACATGTGTGCAGGGAGAGACGAGGCAGACGAGAGCAGAGGTGCAGGAGAAGGTTTATTGGAGCACAGAGGCAACACGAGACCCCCTCCCGGAATGGGGGGGCTGCCCGGACCCCCCCTCACCCCGGCCCAGCCCCTCACCTCCTCCTGTTGCTGCTCCAGCCCTCTGGGACAGGGGGTTTGGAGCAGGCACAGGCCAGACTGGACACCCCCCCACAAAAAAATGTTAAATACCGGGGGCTGGCAGCTCTCCGGGACAGAGACACCCCCTCTCCCTCTTTTCCCCCTCCCCAGAGCAGAGGATGGGGGAGAGAGAGGGAAGAGCCCTGCCAAAACCACCCCCGCTCCCGGTATCCAGGATGGGGGGAGCTGAGACTCCTCCCCGCCAAAACCAACCAAAAAAAATTAAAAAAAAAAAAAAAAAACCAAAAAAAAAAAACCACGAAGAGATGCCGAAGGGGCTGGAGCGGGGCAGGTGGGGCCGGCCCCCGGCTCGGCAGGGCACGCTCAGTTCTTGGGCTCTTCGCCAGCCTCGCCGCCGTCTTCACCGGCGCACTCGGCTGTCCATAGCGTGAGGTTGTCCCTGAGCAGCTGCATGATGAGGGTGCTGTCCTTGTAGGAGTCTTCGCTGAGCGTGTGCAGGTCGCCCATGGCCTCGTCGAAGGTGGTCTTGGCCAGCGAGATGGCCTGCTCGGGGGCGTTGGCGATCTCGTAGTGGAACACCGAGAAGTTGAGGGCCAGCCCCAGGCGGATGGGGTTCGTGGGCTGCATCTCCTTTTTGCTGATGTCCATGGCCTCTTGGTAGGCCTCCTGCGCCTTCTCTATCGTCGACAGCCGGTCGTCCCCGCTGGCCACCTCGGCCAGGTATCGGAAGTAGTCGCCCTTCATCTTCAGGTAGAAGACCTTGCTCTCGGTGTCGCTGTCCTTCTTGATGAGATACTTGTCCAGCAAGCCCAGCACGTTGTTGCAGACGGCGTTGAGCTCCTGCTCCACCTTCTCCCGGTACTCGTTCACCACCTGCGCCTTGTCGTCGCCCTCCTCGGTTTTGTGCTCGATGCTGGAGATGACCCTCCACGCCGAGCGCTGGCAGCCCACCACGTTCTTGTAGGCCACCGACAGCAGGTTGCGCTCCTCGTTGGACAGCTCGTCCCCGTGCTCCACCACGGCCTTCATGAAGTCTGCCATGTCCTCGTAGCGCTCAGCCTGCTCGGCCAGCTTGGCCTTCTGCACTTGGTGGTTTCTTGCCATGGCTGGGACGCGGGCGCTTGGGCGAGCAGCGGGGCCGGGAGCCGTCGGAGCCTCTGCCGAGCGCTGCCGCCGGGATTCGCTTTTGGCTGCGCGTCGGAGCCTCGAGCGAGAGCAGGAGGAGCCAGCCAGCTCCAAGGAGTGTCCTCCTCCTCCTCCTCCTCCTCTGCTTCCTCCCCGCCGAGCGCGGCCTTAAAAGGAAAATCGCGGTGAATCATCGCCCGCGGGCGGCGGGCGCTGGGGAGGGGGCGAGGGGGGCGGCCAACGCCCTGCCCTCCCCGTGGGTGCGGCACCCCTGGGTGCCCCGGGGCTCTCCCCAGAGCCGCCGCCCGCCCCGGCACCGGGAGCCGCCCTTCGCGCTGCCGAGAGCGCCGGGAGGGCGGCGGGAGCCGCGCTGTCCTTTGGGGGGGACGGGGACACAATCGGCTCTTCCCCACCCCGGAGAAATGGGCCACGGGGTGTGGCCGCTCGTAAAAACGGGTCCCTCCCCCCCGAAAAAGTCATATCGCTGTCGTTTTTGATATGGTGATTGCCTCGGCCGTAATTGCGAGCGCCTGACGGGCGGGCGTTTATTCCCACAGGTGGGGAGACCCAGGCGGAGGCTCCGCTCCTCTGCCAGGGAGGGACCGTCCCAAAAAGCGGGGCACAGCCGGCCTTTGAGGGGACCCCCGAAGTGGCCGAGGTGGGAGCGGCGAGGGGAGACCCCCGGGCTGCCCGTCGCCGCCGCTCCGCGTCCCTCTCGCCGAGCTGGCTCTCGGCGGCTCTCGCTCCTGCGGGCTGCCCGTGGGCCGCGGTGCCGATAGGATCTGAGCTGAGTTTCACTCCGAGCTTGTTGCCACACGCCGGGCGCTGGCGCGGCCCCGGCCCGGCCTTATCTCCGTGCGGGAGCGTGCGGGAAGGGCAGGGTGGGGCGGGCGGCTCCGGGCCAAGGCCAAAAGGGGCTCGGGATTCTTTCCGTGAGCCCGGCTTTGTTCCTGCCTGCCGACACCCGGCCGGAGCGCCCCGGATCGCCCCGCGCCTCGCTCAGCCCCCGCTGAGCCCCCGCTGGGATGGAGGAGGCAGGGACGCCGTGGGGATGCTTCTCCCAAACACTTCAAGCCCAGGAAAACAACCCCCGGCCTTCACATCACCCCCTCTGCACGCTGGAATTCAGGAGAACGGGATTCAGGGCCCTTCGGCCCTTCCCGGCCGAGCCCCTGGGGTTGGGGTGCCCAGGTGCCATCGAGGGGCTCCCGTGGCAGCAGCGTGAGGGTGACCAGCCCCAGCGAGGTCCCCACAGCCCCTCCATGGTGAGCTGATCCCGAGGGAACAAGGAACAGGTGAGCAGAACCACGGCCTGTCTTCCACCCTCTGCCCAGGACACAAGGCAGACCCACAGAGATCCTCCAAGAACTTCCATCGGGCACAAAACCCACCCCCCACCGCGGGACTGGGACCAAAGGGGCACCCCAACGTACCCGGCCTGCCAAAATCCACCTCCTTGCCTTGGAAAACCCCAGGCAGGAATCCCTGGGTGGCTTAATCTGAGCTCACACTCCTTCAGGCAGCAAAGCCATCATTTGGGTTGGGGTCCCCAGGCCTGGTGAAGCCCTCCCAGCCTGCCCAGGACGATCCTGCCCCCCCTGAATTTGGGATCCCCCTTGCCCAGCAGGGACACGAGTGGGGCAGGGATGGCTCAGCCTTGGGCTGGTGTCTGAGCCCTGCCAGAGGGGCTGAGCTGCTGCTGAATTTTGGCTGAGAGGAGGCTCAGGGAGGCTCTGCTGCGCTGGTGCCATGGCCAGCAGCGGTGGGTGCAGGGCAGAGCCCAGATCCCAGCACAGGGGCTGCACCATCACCCCAGAGAGCACCCATGGGTGCCCCAAAGGCCAAAGGGCAGGGCCAGAAGGGGCATCCCAAACCATTCTGTGGCTCTGTGATCACCCCGGGGAGGGGACACCCAGTTAAGCCCAGCCCTGGGTGCTGCCCAGGCCGGAGCACGTCTCCAGCCCCTGAGCCGAGGGCAGGCGTGGGCTGGGCTGGCAGAGGCAGAGGATGCTCGTGGCTGTTCCCAGGGCACTGGAGCGATGCTCAGAGCCCGTCTAGCCACCCTGCCCGGCCCTGCTGCTCCCCCTGGCTGTGGGGACGCTGCCAGCTCCCAAAACACCAGCGGACAACGCGTTTTTCCAAGGGGTGCTCACAGTGCCCCGGGTCCTGCGGGCGCTGCCCATTGCTCCTGCCCATTGCAGGAGGGTGCAGAGCTTGGATGGCTGAGACCGCCCCGGACTGTGCCACAGCCCAGCTCGGGAAGCTCCTGGCTCCCATCCCCACGGCTGCTGGCACAGCACTGCCAGCCCTCGGTGGCTTCCCTCGGCGCTGCTCGGGCCTGCCCAGGCAGGAGCCGTTCCCCTCCACCCGCGGAGCAGAGCCAGACACCAGAGTACACTAAATAGGAGAAACTTTCATTTTGTTACAAAAGTAAAAGGCGTAAACAGACGGTGAATCCTACAGGGCCGGGACAGGCCTGGCTGCTCCACTCGGCGCTCAGCCCAGCGAGGCTGCTCGAGGTGCTGGAGCCCTTCCCCTAAAGCCAGAGCCGTGCTGGGATGAGGCTGGCAGGGGGAGCTGGCCCTGCAGGGGCTGCAGGGATGAACCGACCAGGTACAAATTCCCATCGGGAAAGTCCTCTGGCACACGGACACGGGAGGGTTTGGGGCTGGTGCCCCTGGCTTGGCTCTGGAGAGATCCTGCTCCTTCCAAAATCCCGTTGGGACGCCAACCACGACATTCCAGCATCGGGGATGGACGGGAGGACGCCGTCCCGAGTGCCCCCGGGGAGCCCCCGGCGGCGGGGATGGGACGTGGCTGCGGTTATCTATCCCTGCTTGTTGGGGGCTGTATGGCTCTGAGCTCCCTGTATGGCTCGGGGGAGGGAGGGAGGGAGGCGAGCAGAGGCACTCGAGGTGGTCATGGCTGTGGGCTCTTGCTCCGGCTGCTGCGGCGCTGGATCCGCCCGGAGCGAGGGAGAGCAGAGGGGAGGAAGATAAAAGGAGAGTTAGTGCCAGAAACAGAGGAGCTGCGGGAGCAGTGTGGGCATCCAGGCTGGCTGGCAGAGTGGGACCAGGGCAGAGGGAGGAGGGGGCTCCGTCCCTGCCCCGAGGCTCAGGAGCTCATGGGGGGCTGCGGGGAGGGAACAGGCCCTCAGGGGACACATCCCATCCCAAGGTGCCCCGAAGGAACTTACCCTGCTCACAGGAGCAGGAAGCGGGTGTTGCAGGGAGGGGAACGGGCAGAGGGGTCCCCTGAGCCACGGCAGGGTCAGGGTGGGGGGCCACACCTGCCCCAGGGGCCACGGCTCCCCCCAAACACCAAACCTTCCCTGGCTGGGGTTCTCTCACACAGCCCCAGGCTGCAGAGTCCCCTGCCACAATGTCCCACAATGTCCCACAATGTCAGAAGGCAGACTGGGTGGCTCCAGCCCAGCACAAAGCCAGGAAAACCAAACCCTCCTCTTCTGGCAAAGCCTTCAGGTGCTCCCTCACCCCCAGAGCCCTGGCACCATGCCCCCGTGCCAGAGGGATGCTGGTGGGATGGATGGGCAGGGGGATCCAGCAGAGCTGGGGTGATGGGCTCTGAGCCAGAGCTGCCATGCAGTGCAGAGATGGGTGGCTGCAGAGGTGAAGGGAGAAGGAAGCACTTTCTTACCAGCCAACCCTCAGAAATCAGGGCAAACGTCCGAGGAGGGGCAAGTCCCGTCAGGCTGTGCAGGAAATGGCAAAGTCCTGGCAGGCATCCTCCTGGGGGAGACACCAGAGGTTATGCACCTCACGCCTGCCACGGGGCCACAGGGGCTGGCACAGCTGGGGAAGGGACACTGAGGTGACAACAGGGGAAGGGATGAGCCCCTGCCCAGCCTGGAAACGTGGGACAGCAAATTCCCTTCACTCCAGCAGGAGTCACAGCAGCGTCAGCTGCTGCTCATCCCTCCCAGCAGGAGCTTCCAGGAGTTTCCAGGTGAGGCCTGAGCCTGACAGAGCCCAGCTGGCACCTGGGAGATGCCAAACCCTGGGACACACCTGCCCCCTTCTGTCCTCAAGGAGGAAAAGAATCATCCAAGCAGTTAACTCTTTCAAAATAGAATTTTATTGAGTAACAAAGGAAACTGGTTTAAATAAAAACAGGAAGGAGTCTGGCCCCTGGTAACCCCCTCCTCACTGCTCCTCTCCATCCCCCTGGCACAGGCACTTGCAGAGTACAAAGCACGATGCTGGTGAGCTCAGGGGGGCTGGGCTGCCCCCCAAAATGTGCTGCCCCTGCCCCAGGTTGAAACTGGTCTGTCTGATCCAAGGAAACCTGACAGGCAGCTCGGCACTGTGAGCCTCTGCCTGGTGCCAACGTGCACAGTGCTCCCTGCACAGGACAGAAAATGTTCTACGTAGAAAAAAGTCCTACAAATTGTGCAAAAATATCCAGCAGCTTTGAAGAACACGATTCAAGTATTGCTACAAGGTTTGTGACTCTGCCTTCGCCCCAGGGACACGGAGCTGGCTGCCTGGGTGCAGAGGGATGCTCGTGGATGAGCAGCTGGAATGGCTCCAGGGCACTGGGGACAGCCCTGGGGACACTCTGCTGCTCAGAAACCCAAACCAAGAGCACACCACGAGCTCATCAGAGACCAGCACCCCTCACTGCTTCCTTGTGAACCCCCAGCTGGGAATGGTGTGACCCTCAGGAGTTCACACACTCTTCTGCTGCCTTTTGGTCTCCCACAGACAGGACACAATCCTGGGAAGCTCCAGCTCCCAAACCTGACCCCTGCAGCCTTGTGACCTGCATCTCTGAGAGTCACAGAGCACAGAGTGTTCCTTCTTCCCTGCTGGATGAGTGTCCCCTGACTTGTGTCCTTGCTGCAAAACGTGTCTGACCAACTGGCAGGGCCAAAACACAGCCCCAGCCAGGAAAGAGGATCAGCAGGGATCACCCAGGACATCCCCACTGGCCCCCAGGTGTGCTGGGAGCCAGAGTCCTCCCAGCTGAACAGCCCAGCTCGCCAAGGCCCAGCAGCTCCTGGAGAGGGAAGCTGCTGCAGCCTGAGAGCCACAAGAGCCCTGCCAGGTGGGCCAGGGGAGCAGGGTGTGCTGATGGAGCTAACAGGGGCACCAGGGAGGTGACACCTCCTCCAGCCCAGCCCCAGCTGGGAATCATCTGCCAGTGCCCAGCTCCCAGCCTTGGCCCCTCTCATTCCCAGCAGGAATCACAGCAATGCCCTGGAGCTCAGGGGTCTGGGGACTCCTGGGGACCCCCTGTTTCCAGCACGAGTCCAAGGGTCCCACAAGCTGTTGGGCTCTGTCAGGCAACACCCCTGACAGGCCACAGCACAGTGAAACAAATAAACAAAAAGTAATAAATAAATGTAAAAAAAAAAGAAGGCAACGCATGGCTCGAGCCTTTGGCAGCTCAGGGCTGTCCCACCTGAGCCAGGGCTGTGACAGGGAAGGTACTGGCTGGAGCAAGTGCAGGCACAGCAGGCACTGGGAGCATCACAGCACTGCTAGGGAATGCCTCCTACCATGCTGGTGTCAGTTTTGGCTCCAAGGGAAGGGATTTCACTCTTGGGACTGGACGGGGTCCCCATGTCTGGCTGGATAAATCCTCTTCTGTCTATCAAGCTGGAAAACAGGAAGGGAAGAGCAGTTCAGGGAACAAAGACTGAAGCTGGGAGCTCACAGGCCACAGGGCAGGCTCCTCTCCCAGGAGCTGCAGAGCACAGTACAGGCAGGATGCTGGAGCACAGGGTTCTGCCCAGCACAGGAGCCACAGACCCCTCCCATGAGCCATTGACCCCCTCCCAGGAGCCACAGACCCCTCCCAGGAGCCACAGACCCCCTCCCAGGAGGCACAGACCCCCTCCCATGAGCCACAGACCCCTCCCAGGAGCCACAGACCCCTCCCAGAAGCCTTTCTCTGCAGAGTGGGAATTTCCTCCCCCGATCAGAGCAGGTTTGTGCTGCCATGGCCTGTGACAGGTCTGTCCTTGCCAAGGCTCCTCTCCCACAGCAGGAGGCAGCTCCCAGTGCCTGCAGGCCACGGGCTCTTACCTGGGATGGAATGGTCCACACAGCACTGCACAGCAGTTTGTGAGGATGCTTTTATGGCTGTAGGGATTGGCAAACTCTGAGCCCCTCTTGTTTGACCAGGACCCTTTGATCTGAAAGGATGGACAGAGATTAGGAGGGGCAGGATGGAGAGCAGACAGTGACACAACAGTGGACCCTTGCAGGGGTGGAAAGTTTGTCCCAGAGCAGGGGGAGGACACCTGCAGGCACTGAGGCTGCTGAGGTGCAGCCCTGCAGCTGCAGAGCTCCCAGGCTGTGCCCTCCCTGTGCTGCACAGCAATGTCACTGTCACTGCTGTCACCACTGTCACCACGTGCCACAGCACCCCGTCCTCCTGCTGCCCTCGTGGTCTCTCTCTCTGTCTGGCACCCATCAGAGCAGGGCCCCTGGTCCCTCAGGCTGCACAAACAGCGAGGGATTCCCAGCCCAGGGCTCCTGTTCCCAGCCCAGCAGCTGCCCCAGCTCTGCCCCGAAACTGGCTGTGGCACAGGGGCTGGGCAGCTGCCACAGCTGCCTCAGGCTGCACGGAGCCAGCACCAGCACCTTCCCCAGCACATTTCCTCCTCTTGTTCAACTTCCTCTGCCCAGCTGCAGCACGAGGCTGGAGCCACTGGTGCTCCCAGGGCTGGGGTACAAACTGTGAGCTTCACTCACACAGCCCTGAGCAGTTCTGCCACACCTCTGAGTGTAAGGTGGAGGGGAAAAGGGAAAAAGCAAAACCAAAAGGGATGCAAACACACTTTCTGCAGTGCTGGAAGCTCCCAGCAAGGATTACAGGTACTTCTGGCCAGAAGGGCGAATTTTGATTCTGAGGATCAGACAGATCCTGCTTTTCCATACAATCTGCCCCACTCAGGGCACTCATTTGGTCCTTGGAGCCTGTGCACACCCCAGATTTGAAGGTAAATCTCATCAGATGTCTGCACATTGTTTGCTAATTAGAGATGAGGAACTGCCAGACACAAAGGGACTGGCCCAGGGTCCCAGAGGAAACCCATGGTTACACAGGATGCTGAATTCAGATCACCAAGCTCACACCCAAATACTCCCCTGGGGCAGCCTTCCTTTTTTAATCTCACAACTCCTAATTTTAAGCGAGGCCACAAACAGACTGGAAAAAACCCACACGTGATGGTTCTAACTCAGCCACCTGAAAGTGCAGCCGTGGGCACAGGCTGTGTGCTCTGCACTGGGTTATCACAGAGTGAAACTCTGCACTGAGGCAGCCAAGAATGCCCTGAAAACTGCTCAGCAGGGGCTGTGGGCAGCCTGGCAGCAGGACAAGCACCCAGGTACTTACATCTTCGTTCGTCGTCAGGTTGGAGGCGACTAAGTACGTGTGAAAACCTGAGAGGCCCAAAATGGACCAGACTGAGAAAAAACAAATCACCAGCTCCAGCACAGTGAAACAGAAGTCAAGGAAGTCTCAGGGAATAAAATCATCCCACGAGGAGAGGCAGAGGAGTGTATGGGGAGGTTTGGGCAAGCTTCCCATTCCCCCAGCTGGTTTGCAGGGATCCAGCAAGGCACAGCCTGCTCCAACTCTTCCCTTTCCACCTAAACCTGCAAACTGGGAAACAACCCACCCTCAGTCCCAGGTAGCCAGGGGACTAAATTAATTTGGGGAAGGGACACCAGGGTGACCTGCAAAGAGCTCCTGGCCCCTCTCTGTGAGTGATTGGCAGTGCTGGGCACCCTGAGCAGCTGCTGCCAGCAGAAGGATATCTCGCAGGGGTTGTCTTCAGAGTGGCCAGGAACCCATCCCTCTGAGAGCCTGCAAAGCAAACAACAAGGAATGGCATCCCAGCAGGCAGGCCTGCCCCTCCAGCCAGAACTCCACCCCCGTGGGCCGCGTGGATCTGTCTGTCTGCCTGAGGAACACCCGCAGTCTGGGATGCTGCAGCAATGTCAGTGCAGGGCTCCAGGAGACTTGGGGCTGGTGGGAAAGTCCCCTTCCCTGCCAGGGTAAGGTGGAAGCACCAGCAGCTCACCTGCTCTGGGGAAGCAAATCCCACCCCCAGCCCCCAAAGCCCCTGTGCAGCGAGGTGAAGGCAGAGCCGTGGGCTGCTGAGACCCCGCAGAGCCTTCCCCTGCTGGGTGCCAGGGGAGCAGGGAGCCAGAGCTGTGCTGGAGCAGCGCTGCCCCCCGGCAGGACTCACGCAGGGTGAGGTGGGTGACGACGCAGGCGAAGATGAAGGCGGTGAGGAAGGACAGGGACAGGATGAAGGCGTAGAAGTAGCGGTAGTTGCGCTTGCCCACGCAGTTGCCCACCCAGGGGCAGTGGTGATCGAATCTCTCTGCAACAAAGGCTCCAGGTGAGGAGGGCTGCTGCCACCTCACACCCAGCATGGAGCAGACTCTGCTCAGCCCCCCAAACCCATCTTCCCCCCGTGCCCCGGGGGCAGAACCTCTCTGCAGCAGTTTCCATGGCGCCTGGCCACACACAGTGAGGAGCCTGCAGCAAACCTTGTGTTTGTGGAGGCCTGCACTGCATTTTACAGAACCCTCCTCCCAAAACCAGGGAAAACAGAGCCATGGAGTCTTGGATGTGCTGCTCCTTGCCCTGAAACACTGCTCTACTGCTGCTTTCAATTTAAATGCAAAGGAGACAGACCATGCAGTATCCTGTTTTACAATCCTTCAGGAGCAGCAAAAATCTGTCCAGGAACACAAGTGACAGGATCAGTGACAGAACCTGAGGGAATGGCTGGAGCTGTGTCAGTGCAGGCCAGGCTAGATATTGAGACAAGATTCTTCCCCCAGAGGGTGCTGGCACTGCCCAGGCTCCCCAGGAAATGCTCCCGGCCCCAAGGCTGCCAGAGCTCCAGGAGAGTTTGGACAGCACTGCCAGGGTGCCCAGGGTGGGATTGCTGGAAGGTCTGTGCAGGGCAGGGGCTGGATCAGAGATGCCTGTGGGTCCCTCCCAGCTGAGGACACCCTGGTTCTTGCCCAGCCTTCCCCCAGCCCCGCTCACCCACGCAGTTGTCGCAGACGCTGCAGTGCGAGGTGCGCGGCGGCCGGAACATCTTGCAGGTGTAGCAGTACTTGAGCTTCACCACGTACTTGTTGATCACCACCTCCATGGTGCGGGCTGGGGGACGGTACGTGGAGCTGCCCATGCTGTCTGCAGGGACAAGGAGGGACACTCACACCCCTGTGCCAGCCCCAGCTGCGGCAGGGGCAGGCACACGCTCTCCGGGCTTTAACAGAACACAGGACAGGATTTGTAGCAGGGTGGGCAGCCGAGAGCTCCAGCCAGCCCCTCACGTTATTTATGGCCTGTCTTTATTCAGGGGTGATGCTGCTGGGATGCCAAGAGGAAGCAGTGAGTGCCACTGCTGTGGGGTGTCAATAATTCACAAGCAGTGAGTGTGAAGCAGCAGCCCAGGAACGCCAGCTCATGTCTGTGTGTCCAGCGGGTCACAGCAGGCAGCCTGGCTGTGAAGGCACGTGTGGCTCTGCCACAGGAGCATCCCTGCCACTGCCAGCCCACAGCTGCAGCACTCCCAGCCTGCAGGGACTCGTGGGGATGGACAGCAGCAGGTCTCAAGTGCTCCAGTAGATTCCCTGGAATCTGACATGTTTGTGTTCGTAGCACAAGAGGATTCTTCCTCCTCCAGGTTTAAACTGAGGATTTTTAGGGGCACTGCAAGTGTGTGCTGGCACTCCATTATTCCCTGGGGGCTGGAGACTGTTCCTGTACACAGCAATAGCTGGAAACCCCCAGTATCATGTTTGCAATTTTGGGGGTTATTCCTTTTAGTCACTTCCAAAAAAGTACCTTTCCAACTGTGAGGAATTCTTTGAAAATAGTGATGCTACAGTGAGCATGTTAAGAGGATAATAAGTGGATTATATTAGCAGTAACAGCTGGCACATCAGGCAGCATCTGCAGCCAGATTACTGCTTTAGGCCCTTATAAATAGAAACACGGATCAACACTCTGGGGATATTTAAAAACCATTTTTAAAGGCAGATGTAGAATTACTGCCTTGCATCTGTCTTCAGCAGGACAAATTCAAGCTGTCTCACATCAGCTTTGCTAAAGCATTTGCTCCAACCTGTCACATCAACGAGGTCCTTGGCTCCTGGATGCAAACACCTCCTTGGCTGTCCCCAAACCAGCGTGACAGAGCAGTTTTTAGAAGAGGACAAACATCAGCCCACTCTAAAGAACACCTTGCAGCACAGCAGGCTCAATGGCAATATCAAAAAGCATTAATTATCCTTCAACTCTGCTGCCTAGGAAAGCACTGGGACTGAACAGGAGCAAAAAGCACCTGAGCTGCTCTGCAGATCCTCTCTGAGGCACTGCCTGCTGTGCCAGAGGAGCTCGTTGCACCTCTCATCATGACTGCTAAACACTCTCAAGCCTCACAATCTGACACTCTGGATTTTTCTTCCCCCCCTGGACAAACCTAAAGGAGCCAAGACCCAAAGAAGAGGCCTCATTGAGCCTGGAAGGTGCACAGACACACACAGAGCTAAAACCAGGAGAGGGAGCAGAGCTCTCACCAATTCGCTTCTCCAGGTCTGCAGCCTCGCTGGGGGTGGCTCTGGGCAGGATTCCTGGGTCTCTGAAGCTGGTCTGGAGCAGGCAGCTGATGACAAAGAAGAAGAGGATGGCAGCGATGATGGGGATGGCCAGGGTCAGGTGATTGGCAAGGAACGGGCAGCTGTGGAAAGATAAATAAAATGGAATTGTTATCAATCATTGCACAGACCTGCTGTCAGCTGGGACACCACACCACGACCTGCCACGGGGTAATGGGCTCAGCAGCCGAGCTGGGGCTGCTCCTGCAGAGATGGGACTGCTGTGATCACAGCCCACAGCAGGGCAGCTCACAGGCAGCAGCTGAGGACAGCAGAGGACACAGCCCTGCACACACAGAGCCACTGTCCCTCCTGCAGAGGGGATCAGCACCCAGAGCCAGCACAGCATGGGCTGCCCCAGCCCTCAGGGCTGCAGGCAGTGCTCAGGCACTGCAGCACTCTGAGAGGATTAAGCAACTTTTGTTTCACCTCCCCAGCTCAGCTGTCCAGAACAAAGCACCCACCAAGCAACAAAACCCCTTCAAGTCCAAGCCTGAGCCCCTCAGTCATTGACAGAAAGGTCTGTGAAAGGAGAATTGTGAGCTGGTTGTCACCCCTTTCCTGAGAGAACCTCCAGAGCCCACTCTTGTTCCCACCAGGGACCAAGAAATCACAGAAATCATAAAATCCCCAAATGGTTTGGTTTGGACCTTAAAGATCATCCCATCCCACCCCTGCCATGGGCAGGGACACCTTCCACTGTCCCAGGCTGCTCCAAGCCCTGTCCAGCCTGGCCTTGGACATTTCCAGGGATGGGGCAGACCCAGCTGCTCTGGGCACCCTGTGCCAGGTCTTCCCACAGAAACCATGAAATACAGACACAGACACGACGTATTTGCTGTACACCCGGCAAACTGCAGCCTGTGCAACAGAGGCATCCTGCTAAAATAACAACTTGGGAGAGCCCCGGGGCATCTTCGAGCACGAGAGAGTGACTCGGCAAGAAGGGAGGCAGAGCAGATGTCCCGTGTGCTCTGCCTGGCCACACAAAGCCGGCACTGTGCTGAGCTGAGCTGCCCCCGACCTGGCAGAGAGCTGCCAGGGCACGGAGGATGCTGAGAAAGGGGTTTTTCCATCGGGACGCCGTGCCTGCCTCCCGCAGCTGCCTGTCCCTTTCAGCTCATCTGACTTCTCAGAACCTCTAATCCGATCAAGCACTTTCATCTCCCCACCAGCAGGCTCGGGCAGCTTTTCTGCGAGACTCGCAGGGATAACGCCGTGATCCAAAGGCAGGCGTGGGCCCCTGCTCCAGGGAAGAGCGGCTCCCATCCCTCCCGGGACAGAGAGGGAGGCAGGACACAGAACCCTCCAGGTGTCAGGAAGCAGGGTGCTCCTTCCCCAGCTCCCCAGGGCAGCACAGGACACCCCGGGATGCTCCTGGCTCTCCCCTCCCTCAGGCGGCAGGAGCAGGGAGCTTCCCTGGAGCAGCTTCCAAAGGAAAGGACTGGGGAGATGCAGCTCCCAATTCCCCTGACTCTGCTGCACAGTGGGGGCTGAGCTCCAGCGCAGACCCTCGAGGTGGGACCCCGAAGGGTTTCACCATTTAAAGAAACACTGCTCCTAGATCCCAGTGGTGGACAAAGCCCACGAGCCTTGGGGGTTCTCTGGGTGCAATTTTGGGCCAACTCTCTTCTTGGGAGCAAAAGGAGAGACCTGGGGGCTGTATTTAGAGGCCGGGGGAGCACGCTAGGGGGACGTTAAACCCCTTCCTGGGGCCAGACTGAGCAAACAGAGCGCAGAACGACCCCTGCCCCCCATAAACACACCTGGGCACAGGTGAGGGGGCACTAACTGCCTGCACAGGGGGTCTGGGGGCTGCACCCAGAAAGGGCTCGGGGGGCAGCGGGGAGCAGGGACAGCGGGGATCCCACGGGGGAGGTGACCCCCAGCCCACGTCCCTCCCAGCGCGGGATGCCAGCTAACCCCGGCTGCCCCAAGGGCAGGCCGTAAGCGGGGGAGACAAGCAGCCCCGCGGGGAGGCCCCGAGGCACGGAGCCCGCACGGCTCGGGGCCCCGAGCCCGCCGGCCCAGACTCACTCGAAGGCGAAGAAGAGGCCGCTGGTGGCCAGGATGAGGCCGAGCGTGAGGGCGAAGACGCCGCTGTGCCGCGCTAGCATGAGGCGGCCGCCGCAGTAGAAGCGGTTGCGGCCCGGGAACACCTCCCACTTCCTGCGGGGCCGCCGCGCCGCTCCGGCCCGCGGGGCCGCCGACCCGCCCGGGCCCGGGCCCGGGCTGGCCCGGCCCCGCCCCGCCGCACAGCGCCCCCTGCCGGCCCCGCCGCCACCGGGAGCGCAGCGGGCCCGTCCCGGCACCGACCCCGGAACCCGTCACTCCCACTCCGACCCTGCCGCGACCCCGGAACCCGTGACTCCCACTCCGACCCTGCCCCGATCCCGGCCTGGCCCGGCGGAACGGGCTGAGCCGCCTCTCCGGTAACTTTCACGTGTTTATTAGGGTCGTGCATGTGCCCACGTAGCGCCCGCCACCCCCGCCGTGCTCCCTGCCCAGCCTGGCTCGGAACCTGGAACAGGGACCGTGGAAAAGGAACCGGAACAGTGGGAACGGCTCAGGGCGCTGGACCCTCCGTGCCCACAGCACATCCCAGGGAACCCCAAATCCAGCACAGCATCCTGCCACAAATCCGTGCCTGCCGTAATCTCCCCCAGGAGATGCAGGAGCCCAGCTGCGTACCCCATCCCAGGCGGGTGATGGGAATTTCGGCCGTCAGCAATGCCAGCTGAGCGGGGCGGGATGCTGCAGCATCACACCTCAGAGAACATCCTGCCCGGGACATGGCAACGGAGGAGTAACACCTTTGTAACTGCAGCCACCTCAGGCTTCCAGAGCGGTGAGTTTCAGCTCTGAGCAGAGCTCCTGCCCCGCTGCTGGCCTGTGCCAGCGCAGCCCGCTACGTCCACGGGAAGAAGTTGCAGTGCAGGATCAGCCCCAGCAGCCAGTAGCCCAGGAAGAAGCCCAGGATGCTCTTGCTGAGGGGGGTAATCGATCGCCAGTTCAGCAGCAGCCTCACAACGGGGTTGTCCGAGGTCCTTTTCCCACAGGAACGGTGAGATTTACCCGGAACAGGCTCCCCAGAGGTTGGATTGTCAGTCCCTGTGCTCCAGAGTAAAGGTTCGTGTTCCTGAAGCAGGTGAGCTGGGAACCAGTACAGGATGGGAGAGGAGGAGCCAAGGAACCGGGTCAGCACCTGGAGACAACAGGCAGAGGAGAAGTCACCCAAACTGCTGTGCTGTCACCGCCCCAGCCCCACAGGGAATCCCCCCCGTCCCACCTGCACGTGCATGCAGAAGAACCCGAACACCAGCAGGGCCGTGCTGTGGACCATGTACACGAAGGCAGCGGGGCCACAAAATCCATCTCTTGCCTTTCCCCTCTCTTCACCCTTGCTCCTCTCTAGACCCAGAGTCAGGCAGTGCCGGGGGTTTGTGCTGACGTAGGTCCAGGCAGCCCATGAGCCCAGAAGGGTGACGGGCAGAGCGAGCAGGAAATTTGGGATCTGTCTGAGCTCAAAGTACCTCAGAAAGCCCACGTTCCAGTAAGTGTCTTGGATGTAGGCATAGACCAGAGGGAAGCGCTGGGAGCACCAAGGGGGTTTGGCTGCACCCACGCCTGCCACCCGATAGCCCTTGTCCCGTGCCAGCTGCAGCAGCGGCTCGGGAACGCTCTGGCCCAGGCCCGGGCCAGGCTCGCAGAACCTCACGTAGGCGTAGTACTGAAACGCGGCAAAAGGCAGGGAAACCGCGGCACACACCAGCACTGCCGAAGACACCAGGCCGAGGACTGGCTTCCACAGCAAGGGCAGCTGGCTCGGGGCCGCCGCTGTGCCCTGCAGCTGCAGCGCCAAGCGCCTGCCGCGCGAGTAGAGGAAGAAGCCGGCGTTGAGCAGCCCGTTGGCCCGCGCCCCGGCCGCCAGGCCGAAGAGCAGCCCGCTGAGCCAGCCGTGCCCCTTCTCCAGCTGCCACATGGCGCCGAAGGCCAGCAGGGCGAAGGCGCTCTCCGAGTAGGCCGCGGCCATGAACACGCCGGCCGGGCTGACGGAGAAGAGCAGCGCGGCCACGAAGGCCTGGCGGGGCCGGCGCAGCACGGCCCGGCCCAGCGCCAGCAGCGCCGCGGCCGCCAGCGCCGACAGCAGCGCGTTCAGCAGCGCGGCCGCCAGCAGCAGCCGGCTGCGGGGCTGCAGCTGCACCGGCCACGGCAGCAGCCCGGCCAGCAGCCGCAGCCCCAGCGGGAAGAGCGGCAGGAAGGCGCAGTTGTGCTCCAGCAGGTAGCCGCGCTCGGCGATGAACAGGAAATGCTCGGCGTCCCAGCGGCCCAGCCCGCCCAGCAGCCGCTCCACCAGCGCGTCCCACGGGCCCCGCGGGCCGGACCGCGGCGGCGAGAAGGCGTCGGCGGCGTGGTCCGGGATCAGCAGGTTAAACACGGCCTGTAAAACAAGAGAGGGCTGGCAGAGATGCTCCGGTACCCAGAGCTCCTGGGCTCCAGCAAGGGGGGAGGGTGGCACCGAGGCCGGACCCCAAGATGCCCAGGAGGCTGTGAAAAGGTGCAGACGCAACCTTTTGGGGTATTTACATCTGAACAGAATAACGCTCTGGGATCCAGCATGGATCCCTGCAGAACTGGCCAGGGAAAGCTGCTCATGGCTGTGACTGAGCTCTGTGCTGGCTGTCACAACGAAGCTCTCCCAGGCTCAGAGCAGGATGTCTCTGGAAATAAGATTTGGGAGGAACATACAGCAGGAGATTATTGTTCCTTTTCTGTGGATAAACACACTTTGTGCCAAACCAGCCTCTTGCAGCAGCAGCATGAAAACACAGCAACTCACAAGGAGATTAATGCATTTTTACTTAACAGCAACCTGTAAGTAAAACCCCTGGCTGCAGACAGTCTGTTGGCTCTCCAGAGAGGACGATTTCCCCATTGTGCAGAACCAGCTCATGGATCTCAGGGGTACTGGGAGCAGCAAGGCCCAGCAGAGCCTCTCTGGCTGGAGGACAGACTTGCCTGCAGCAGCAGCGCCAGGGCCCGGCAGCGCAGGGAGAACCACACGACCTCTCGGAGCTGGGGGTCTGCCCTGCTCCACAGCTCCATCCCACACCCAGGAACTGCCTCAGGAGGTCACCGGTGCCAGGGGAATTCTCCTTCCAGTTTTGGAAACCTGGGTTGGTAAACACAGAGGACAAAAGAGATTTCTGGCTTCAGCCTCATTTGTGAATTTTAAGCCTTTATTTACTGTCAGGCACTTGAAAGGTGCAAGTCTCTGTGAACAAGAAAGTCGCTTATGGAAGAGATCACAGATCTGGGAGATGATGCAGAAACCTCTTTGATATTGCTCCTAAAAAAAAAAAAAATCCCTGACTCGTTAACCTTGGCCAAGACGCTGAGGGAGAGAGGCTATGGTGTGTTCCCTGACCCCCTCCCCAGGTCGGGGTAAATCCCTGGAGCAGACAGGCTGCTCGGCTGCCTCAGCAGGAACTGCAGCAGCTGGAGCCAAGCATCCTCACACACATCCAGTGCCAATGCCGTGAATGGGATCTAAGCCTCTTTTTCTTGGAATGGAGACAGAATTCCTGTGGACTCTGAGCCTAACCCCCGTGTAAGCAGTTGCTGAGAGGGGCTGCCAGGAGCTCCCTCCTCTCTCCTGCTCTGTGTTTGCCCCTGGGAAGCCAGGAATGGATTTACTCAGCTGGCTGCTGCCAGAGCAGGGTGGAAGTCAGGCACACAGCACTGGCAGGACACAAACTCCGTGCCACTCCACCCTCACCACCTGCAATTCTCCAGTATTTTGGCAAAGCTCCTGGCACCTGCCTGTCGGGCACATTCTGAATCCACCCGTCCACCTCCTCCCTGCAGACCTCGCCTGAGGGATTTCAGCCTCTTTTGGAGCCTCCCCAGTTCAGTGCCTGCATGTCCTGGGGGCCGTGGTGCCCAGCTCTGATCCCTGGCCCTGAGCAGGGGCAGGCAGGCAGGATCTGCTGTGCAGCTCTTTAAGATAAAACATTTCTTCCGTTGGCTCCCCAGCCACCAACTGCTTTTCAGTTAGAGAAACACACAGCCCACAGCTCTCGCTGGGTCCCAGTGGCACCACACCCTGCCCTTCTGTCTGCTCCAGCACTCTGTAACACACAGAGATCCCCAAATCCATCGCTCCACAACCTAAAATCACTGACATTTCCCTAGTGCCATTGTGGAGAAAAAGCCCTGCCAGGCTGAAACTGCACCAGAGGGCAGAGAGCAAATCATCAGCAAGGCAAAAACCAAGATCCAGACCGGCTCATTGACAAGTCCAATCCCCAAGCACAGGGTTATGCTTCCTATTTAACCACAAATAAAAGTTTTGGGGTTGCTCCTATTCCCCTTGTGCTCCCCAGCACTCCCAAAGCAACTGGTGGGCTGCACATTCTCCTGCATCACGAAGCTGTGACGTTATTTTAAGCGAGGGGACACTTCAACCCAGCTGTAAACTCTTTTAAAGCACATTCACAGCTGCAAATCCTATTAAAGCACAGCGGCAAGAATGGTCCTGGCACTTTAAATATAGTTTTTTCAAAAAGCAGAGAAAAAGCCTCGCCTGAATGTGCCAAGAGAGCTCAAAGCAAACAGCTTTAAAAAGCCTGTTCCTGTCACGACGCAGCACACCTTGTGACAGAGCAAAGCCTTCAAAAGAGCTGCAGCCCACAAGCCCCGTTTGGATCCAGAACGCAGCGTCGGGAATGGCTCAGCCCCAAAAATCCTGTGGGAAAGAGCACCTGCAACAACACAAAAAGGAGAGGGAGAAGGGCGTTAAAAATATTCCAGCAGGAAAAGACGCAAAGTCTGAATTAAAGATGCTTTTCTCTCTGTGTTCTGCGCTTCCCTTGGCTCCCAGCTGTGAATCCCAGGTTGGAAGCGGCGCTGGGAGAGGGATGTGGGCAGGGACGGGGCAGGGGCCGGGGAAGGAGGACGGAACGGGAGCGGCGGGTCCGTGCAGCCGCAGTGCAGGGCAGGACCAGCCGGTGGCAGCAGCCGCTCGCCACAACGGCATCGCCCGCCGCGGCCGGCAGTGAGGATGCTGCTCCATCCAGCCTGCATCCCAGCGCGGCTGGGCGCCCGGCGCCTCTCCAGCCTGCTGTGACATCCAGCAGTTGCTCCAGACACGTTTTAAAACCCCTTCTAACCAGGATGCCAAAGGAACGCAGCAGGATTTTGGAAATGCTGTTTGCCTGGCGCTGTTTCTGCGGGCGCTCTCGGCCACCCATCCCTCCTGCCCGGAGCTGCTCCAGAGGCTGCGGCTCCAGCAGCGCTTCCCGCGGACCTGGATGCCATCGGGAGCGGTTCTGTCTCTTGGGTGTGCAAAACCCACGGGGGTGTTCAGAACCCACGGGGGTGTGCAAAACCCACGGGGGTGTGCAAAACCCACGGGGGTGAAGTGAACTGCTCCGGGTCAGGACCCGGCACAGGGACGGGACAGCGCGGTGCTGCCGCGCCGGCACTGCCCGGGGCCGGTTCCGCGGCCGTCCTCCGGCAGCCAGACCCGCTGCGGCCGCTCGCGGTGCCCGCCGGGGCGGAAGGGCCGCGGAGCTCCGCTCTCCCCGCGCGGGCAGCGCCGGCCGCGCTGCTCCGGGAGCGGCGACAGCTCCCGCGCCGAGCAGCGGCCGGGCACGGAGGGACCCCCGGGCACTCGGGGCGCTCCGGCTGCCTCCAGCCCCTGCGGTGCCCGCCTGCCGCCGGCGAGGCCGCACGGCGCTGCCCGGGACTCGAACCCCGCCCGAGCCCGCGCCTGACCCGGCCCGTCCGGCTGGGCCCCTCAGGCCTCACCGTGCGGCTCCTGCCGGTCCCGGGGCCGGGCTGAGGGCGGCGGGGATACCCCGGCTCAGATCCCGGTGCCGATTCCGGTCCCGGCTCCGCTCCCGGTGCCAGTCCCGATCCCGATCCCGGTCCCGATCCCGGTTCCGGTCCCGATCCCGATCCCGGTCCCGATCCCGATCCCGGTTCCGGTACCGCAGCGCCCCCTTGCGGAGGGACGGAGGGAGGAGGAGCGCCCCCCCCCCCCCCCCCCCCCCCCCCCGCGCCCCCCCCCCCGCCCCCCCCCCCCCCCCC